AGGAAGGCAGGCAGTAGCTTGCCTAGGCTTCAGGTTTTTTTCTGAATTATTGATTTTAAAGTACATTCATACTTTCAGTGCCTCCATGAAATTTTTCCCTAGTGTTTATACTGTGGAAGAGAGAGGAAAAACAGTGGAATTCACTGTTTCTGTATGCTCAACTTAGAAACTTTAGGATTTTCAAGCATGTAATCATAGAATCAAGCTTATCTAGTTCCAGCTGCTGCCATGGCTGAACTTTAGGATTTTCAAGCATGTAATCAGAGAATCAAGCTTATCAAGTTCCAACTCCTGCCATGGCTGGGAGGACACCTCCCACTAGATCAGGTTCCTCAAAGCCCCATCCAACCTGGCCTTAAACACTTCCAGTGATGGGACATCCAGGACTGTTCTAGGCAACCTGTTCCAGTGCCTGACCACCCTCACAGGGAAGAATTTCTTCCCAATGTCTAATCTAAACTTATTCGTTCAGTTTGAAGCCATTTCCCCTTGTCCTGTCACTACAGTTCTTGATGAAGACTAATATGCTTACAGTGCTTTATGTGTATTAAATAGGACGTTTGTTTTTGTTGGAGGTATAACACTTGCCATTTTTGCATGTCTGGCTTTTGGACTCTGGCAGAGCATGCAGAAATGCCTGAGTAAGGCCTGGCTATGAAAAGTCTTCAGCTAATTTCCCAGCACTGTGTAAGAGCAGAATAAAGAAAAGTATGGAGCTCTGTGCTGGCATTCCTAATGAAATGACTGAACTGTGAACACAGGTGGATTAGAAAGTAAACCCACTCTGACCTCAAGTGTTTAAAGTGTTATTCTTTGATATCCGTCTTAAACTCAGCCAAACTGCTCTGTGTCTCTTGACAATCATCATTGTCCCCAACTGGTCTGTTTTGTAAAACCATCATTGTCCCTTGGTTCAGGAACACTGAAAGGGCTTCTCTCTCTCAGGTATTTTCCCCAGTAATATGTTCAGAAGGTGTTACTAGCTTTAGGGAGGCCTATAGGTTTTGTATTGGTATCATCTCTGCTGGACAGTATTTCATCACCCTAAGTTAAATAACACAACAAAAACTAAAAGTTCTGGAGTACTGAGCTGCAACCTAAGTTTGTGTTTCCTGGATGTCAAGACATATTTCTCCCTTTGGGAGGTGCTGTGTGTTTCTTGTTTTGGATTAGATGCCAAGACCTTTAAAAAGCAAGCTTTAATTGTTTTGTTACTTTTTTTTAAACTTTGTTCCACAGTTGTTGTTTTAGGTGGTGAAATTCCAAATAACTTTTCTCTTTTAAGCCACCTTTATCTTTGTGAACTAATTTTAAGAAGAGAAAATAAAGAAAACTTCTTAGAGAAGCACATTGTTCTTTTACAGGAAGCAGATTTTGGACTGATTTCTGTCAAGTCCATAATTACCTAAAATGTTACAGGATAATTAGAAAGCTGTTTTAAGGTTCTTGGTGCTGTAGTAAGCTTAATTTATTTCTAATCCAAGGATTTTTCCTGACCCTTTTAAAAGTAACTATTCTTAGTCTTAGAGTTTTCCTTGGGAAGAAGGGAAGGGAGGGGGCACTTTGTGTGGGCATCCAGTGATGACTCCAAGATACTTTAGCAATGTTTTGGAACTGGCTGAGAATTGTTTTGGAATGTGAACTTGATTGACAGAGGAGGTTAAAGCTTCACTTAACTTTGAGTCATTGCACTAATGGATGAAGATTGGCAGTGGAGACATTTGTGCACATCAAAGTACAAAGAAACTCTGACCACCCATTATTAGGGTTGGTGCAGCAGAAATTGGTTGTGAGGAGTTGTCAGGGACTCTCCAACACCTGAAATATCTGACACATCTGGGTAAAGAGCTGTTATCCCTGCAAGGGGTAACATGAAACAGTTAAATACCAAGAAATGTGTCTCAGGAGAGATGTGAAGAATTTTGATTTTTATTTTTTTAGAGTTTTGTTTACTTCCTCTTTTAAAATTCTGTGTAGTTAGTACAAAGCTATTTTGTAATGACCTGTTGACCTCCTTTAATCACTATTGTGTTTTGGTGGTAACAGGACAATTCCTGAGTGGCTTTATGGCATTTGCACTCCACATCCATGCAAATGTTGTACTCTGCTGAAACCAAATAATTGCTGAAGGCAAATACCAAGGTGTTAATTAAATACTGCAACTGACAAATCAGTCTTTAGTAGTGTTGAATGTTTGTCTGAGTTTGGTAATGTGAGAAATACTCAGTAGCATAAAAAGTCAAAATATGCATGTTAAAGAGAATTTACAGTCCTCTAAAAGACTATGACTTGTTCTTGATTATCCTGCTTTGGGATTGCCCAGCTGCATTTCAAATGAAATTGTAAATATGGCCTGTAGCCAATAAATTACTGTACTGGCTAGAGGTGAGGGGCCAAAATCTCCACAAAAACTCTTTCTCATATATTTTGAGGTTTCAGCGTGGCTTTCTTCTTGCAGTGAGATGTTGATACTCATTCCTTGTCCCAAAGCAGTTAGCTGGCAGTGTTGTAGGTACGGTCACAATTTGTTGTTCTTATTCTTGAGCTTGATGTTTTTGGTTTTGTTGCTCTTCTGCTGATGACAAATGGAATATATGATGTTTTGCTGGAAGAGAGAACTGAACCACATAAACATGCAGTCTTTGTTCTGTAATACACAGACCTAAATTCTGGTAAAGGAGTTTTCTTTCCCACACAGAGGTCACAACTTAAAACACCCTAAGAAATCCAAGTGCATCCTGACATTCTTCTCTCTGTTCCTGGCCCTGGACAATGGGAATGTCTAGTGTTGTGTTTTGAAGACACTTGTGCCTCTGTTGTTGCTAACCCCTGAAGGAGCTCAGAGTAGAGGATGGATTTGGAGAAAATAGCCCCACTTGGGAAGGTGCAATTCAGTGAGGTTTTGGAAGGTGCAGGTGTGGCCAGGCTGCTGTTAGCTGGGAGCCTGTCTGGTGGATGGCCAACTGCAGGTTTGACAAGGCAGGCAAGACAGCTGTGATAAATTGGTTATTCAGAGGATGCACATGGGAGGAATTCCACCTGCTCTTCCTGGGTCAGACGTTGAATGTGAGGGCAATTTGTTTTGTCAGAGGCTGATGTCTGAATTCAGGCAAAAGACATTCAGGTTCTTTCAGTGTTTGACTGCTGCTGCATAAGATCCAGGAAGCTCATTGTTTCTCACCAGACAGCATTTGTTTTAAATGCTCAGTGTTTCTTACTCAGGATTGCTTTTCTGTTGGTCTTTAAGATGCAAGTGTTGGCACACAGCTGACCTGGGATGAGAATTTTAAGGCTGTATTAGTGTTCAGTAGTTTTTGAGCAGCATAATTGGGTTGTGCTTAAGGTATGTTATTTCCATTTCAACTCTTAATCTTCTCTCTGCAGGTTTGCCCAGGGTTAGCATAGTTTTCAGAGGACTAGTGAGCTGCTGGGTTTTTCTTCCTTTGAGCTGATATTCTTTTATTTATATGTCAAAAACCTATTTACTAAACCTTCTGAGATTTTGTTCCACAACTTTTAGGGTACTTCCTAATATGATTATTCTTTGCTCTCATGTATCAGTAAGATTCAATAACTTTTTGTAGGAGTTATTAGATGCTTTGAGTGGTTGCTGCTGAGTAAGCTTTGAGGAGGTAGTGACTGGAAATGCTTGAGAAGACCTTGAGAGATGTGGTTATTTTGTTGTTTGGTTGTTTTTTTTCCTGTTGCTACACATTATGTATAACTTTAGGCAATCTGTTCTTCCTCTCACTGTGCTCTTTCCTGCCTGTGGAGGTGAAATAATGATTAGATTTCTGGAGACTTAGTAGTACATTTTTTAAACACCAGTGACAACAAAAAGTACAGTTGGGTTTTGGGTGAAGCCTTTGTTGTAGTTCTTCTGTTTGTTGAAAATGTATTGCCTGCTATATAAATCCTGTTGTTTATTATTTCCATGTTAAATGTCTTGGCTCTAAGAGAGTTGTTCTCTTTATTTTGACAACTGGTTTTGGAGGACTTTTGGATTTTCTTCTTGCTTCAGTAGATTAATAGATTTTGAAAATCATTATTGAGATGGGCATTTTTTTAGATGAAT